AATTGGAGCACCAGGACATCTAAATAGCTCCAAGAATGGTGAGAAAGATTGAAACCATGATATGCTAGTACTGGTTGTAGGAACTAGAAGTATTTCACTTGCAGAAGAGAAAACTTGGAGTAACATGATAACCATCTTCAAATATTTGAAAGTTTATTATGTGGAAGAGGGTGTTACACCTCTTCTGCCTGGCCTCAGAGAACAGAACTAGGAGCAAGAAATGAAAGTTGTAGAAGCAGATTAACAATTAAAACTACAAAAAGTGAAATGGGCTGCCTCAGGAGGCAGTATATTTTCCTACAATACAGGTCATTTAGGAGAGACTAGACAACCGGTTCAGAGAGGCTGTTGACAGGGATACTGTTTCAGGCATGGCAGCATGATGGAAAGAGCGTTGAATTTAGAATCAGAGGTTCTGGCTTCAAATCTTAGCTTTGTCATTTGCTGCATGTACTGGCAATTCACTTACCATCTCTGGGGACTAAATATAGTCAGCTGTAAAATGAGGGGGCAGGACAAGCCATTTTCTGAAATACTTTCCAATTTTGAGCTTTTATGGGTTTGGGTTATCAGGTGAGGTACATAAGGGTATGAGTATATGTGTGTATTGATCGTAACTATGTGAGAAAATTAGAGCTTTTGTGTCAGAGGGCATTTCTGGATACTGATATATCTCATGAAAGAGTGGAAAGGAAGGGGGGAGAGAAGATATTGGATGAGTGTGGCAACTTATCTATTCAAGTAGCTCTTTCAAAGGAGTCATAAACTTGGTGTGGGAGATTCTCCTGTCTCAATGTGTTTTTTGTTGTATGTTACTCCATTTTTTTTTAGCATGAAAGTTTTAGAATCCAGGTGTCTTGAATCTCAGTCCAATGCATTTTCCACTAAACCATACTGACTTTCATGCATATTTTCCTTCTCCTGTCTCATTGGTGTCCATAGGGCTCATATTCAAGCCAATGGGATACATTTCCTTATGTGCTGGGTATCCAATCCAATCCAATCACTAGGGAATTCAATTCTACTATCTCTTGAGTCCAAGAAACTAAGGATCCAATGCTATGTGATGCCTATAACACAGAAGGCAGATAGATCTGCTTTAAAAACATCAAAATAGTCAGATGAGCCAAACCTGTGTAGCATTTTGTCATATTTACATGTGATGCCTTGTGATAGCTGCAGCACCCTAAGCAGTCCAGATCAGCACAAGTGTTACCTTCCGTAAGTCTATAGGATGACAGCATGTCACTGTAGAAATTATCCACTGAGGGAAGAAGTGCAATATCTAAATTGCCCTTCTCTGAGCCACTAGCCCAGTAGCCACCATATACTATGGTGCATATGTGCATATCCTTTTTAAAGGCTGAAGCATTCCCACCAGAGAATGATCATTCTGCAGAAAACTAGATTATCATCCCACACCCTCCCACTGTCAAGCCCATTTAAGTGAAGGGCAATGACCAGTTCAAATACTCACTATGTGGGACCAGAGTTATTTAAGGGATAATATGACTCAAAGTATGAAATCCCTAGTTCTAGAGCTTCCATCTCATATCTAGATTCTCCTCTCTCTGTTCACTAACCTCTATGTTCATAGGACTCAGACACTGAATATACTGTAATCAATAAGGGAAAATGGAAAGAAAACATTAAGTGCTTCTGTATAGAGCTATCTATCTTCATGTATTTGTTAAAACCTCCTTACTTATCCTTCTAGTTCTTCAAGCATGGCTAGGGAAATTCTTGAAACTCATGTACCCTTAGATCATGGAAAGGGCAAGAAATGTGCCTCCTAGACCCCAGCTCTAGATCACAGACTACACCAAAGGTAATTAAAGGAGAGGAAATCAGTTTTTCCCCTCTAGCTCATCAGCCTAGCAGGAACTGTACCTGCCAGACCTGGGACTTGAAATTGATCTGTATTGTTTTTGCACCACTGCTCTCCAGAAGTCTTGGCTGGTCACTTGAGCACCTATCCATAGCCAACAGTAGCTGGGAGCCTAGCCATCCCCATCACCTAACAGTAGTCATACAATCTTAGTCAGACGGCAAGGACAGTCATGAGAACCTCTCTGTCATCCTCTTTGTCTCTGAATCATCATCATCACCTTGGGCCCAGAGTGATATAATAACTCAAATAGATTATATTTCAAATGAGCAGAACTGCAATTCCTATAGTCAAAAAGCCAAGTCAACATTCACTAAGTGCCTTCTATTTGCCAGGCACTCTGAGAAGGGAGAGTTCATGCTGATCTAGAGTGGGAAGGGAAGGGTTCTTGGAAAAGCAAAGATGGACTTTAAAGGATGGATAGAATTTAGCTGGGCAGAGAGGAATGGAGGTGTGGCTTTACAGGAATGAGCCTGGAATGACAATGAGAAGGAGACAATGGGGAGACTTCTCTGATTGTTCTTCAGTCATTTACAGTCATGTCTGATTCTGTGACCCTATTTGGGGTTTTCTTGGCAAAGACACTGGAATGGCTTGCTGTTTCCTTCTCCAGCTCATTTTACAGATGAGGAAACTGAGGCAAACAGGTTTAAGTGACTTGTCCAGGGTTCCCACAGCTAGTAAGCATCTGAGTCTGGATTTGAACTCAGGAAGATGTCTTCCTGATTCTAGGCTAGGCACTCTATCTACTCTGCCACCTGTGAGCAGAGGGAGACAATATAAGTCTGGAAAGAGAGATAGAGTCCAGATTATAGAGGATTTTGAATGCTAAACCAAGGAGTTTAGACTTTAACCTATAGACAGAGTTACAAGTTTTTAAGTAGTAGAATGATTTGGTCAGATCTATTCCTCAGGAAGATTTCCCTAGCAATGCATGCATGATGAGAATAGAATGCAGCAGAGAGACCAGTAGGGAGATTCTCATTGCAGTACAGGAGAGAGGTTTTGAGGGCCTGGACTCATGCAATGCTCTGAATTAGAAAATCATTGGGGAGGTAAGATTGACATCATTTTGTGCCAACTGGGTATAGGGGATGAAGGAGAAAGAAGAATAAGGAATGACAGGGATGCTAATGATAATATCAGCTACAAATGAATGGTGACCCTTGACATGAATGTTCTATTCTAGAACCCCTCCTTGGTCCTTCAGGCTCTGACTTTACTATTCCTTCTCAAAGTGTAAGAGTACCTCTCAGTACACAGGTACCCAAACTCTCCTCCCCTTCACCCTCTGCACTAAACAACCTGCAAAATCGTTTTCCCAATGTAAAAAGGGTAAAACTTGGGGTTGTGCTGTGGGCCTCTCCACACCCACTACCACCTGCCCCCAGTCCCTTCTCTCTGGGACTACCTCCCATTTAAACATTTGTCTATATCTTGTATGTTGGAAGTCATTTATATGTTGTCTTCTCTGTTACAACATGAACTCCTGGAGGTCAGAGATCCATTTTTTTCCCCTTTTCTTTGTATCCATAGTGCTTCTCCCAGTGCTTGGCACGTGGTAAATGCTTAATAAAGGTTTAATGATGATGATAACGATGGTAGTTGTAGAAAGGGAATGGGAAGTGTCATGCCCACTGTGTAAGCCCTACCTAGGGATTTTTGCTACTAGGACAAAGACCACAAAGGAGCCAGGGACAAGCAGTAAATTGGGGGTGGGCAGAATAGGTAATGCAGGGGAAGAATTCACCCTATACCACCATTTGGTTAGCTTCTTTATTTAAAACTGATTTTTATCACTGGGATAGTGACTGGATTTATGGTTTCACTGGCACAGAGAATTTCCAAGTGAGGAAATTCCCTCTCTCAAAGAAGGTTGGCACCTTTTCTACAACTTCTAGTCTCAGAGAGTTGCCTAGGGTACTGAAAAGTAAGGGACTACTCAGGGTCACACAGCCAGTATTTGTCAGAGGCTAGACTCCAACCTGGGTCTTCCTGGCTCAGAGGCCAGCTCTCTATCCACTGCACCACACTGCCTCTATTTTTGTTAACCAATTGTTAACCAGTCAATTCTAGCTACTGAAGTATGTATGTGTCCTCTAAACACAGCATTCTCTAAATTTGGACTTTGGAGCAAAACCCCAGTTACCCATTCCTCCTGTTGCTCTGGGTGTCTTTACAGAGCTGGACCCATCCAGATTTGTGTATGTGCCAGAATGTCTTTTCATCTGAGTCAAGGTGTGAGGGTGTGTCTGTCTCGTTGTTCCTCTGTTGGTTTTTATCTACCATTTTAAAAATAAAAACTGTGTTCATGGAGTCATGTCTATATCATCTTTCAATGTGTTGCTGGGAGGTCTTTAGCAATGATGGGGGCTTTGTGAATTAAAGCTTATTGGGCAACCAATGCAGCAAATAGAGATGTATGGGGCGGGGGTAGAGGTTGTTGGGGTGGGGTAGGGCAGTATGAGTCTGCCGGTGTCTAGGCTCCAGGATGCACCAGGGACTCTGCAGTCTAGAACTGGCTCTTCTATGTCTGGTATCACAATGAAAATATTTATATTATTTTTATTTTTCAAAGTTTGCACACACACACACACACACACACACAGAAACACAAGGGCATGTATACACACACGGTGGTAGTGAAACACACAGATACACTGGCAAAACAAACAAAACCCAAACCATGAACTGATACAAAAAAAACCACATCGACACACTACCCTCCCTGCTACCCTACCCTTCGTTTTTCCTATCTGCCCCTTCCAAATCCTTTTTAATCAACCTTCTTTTCTGTGTCTTTGTCTCTGTCTGAACTCCTGTGTCTGTTTCTGTCTCTGTGTCTCTGCATCTCTGTCTCTCTTTGTCTCTGTGTCTAGCTCTTTGCTTCTGTCTCTCTGTGCGTGCCTGTTCTGACCTTCCCTTGTCTCCATCACAACGAATCTTTCCAACCACCCCTTCCCCTCCCTCTATTTCATCCCTCTCTACCCTCCCCTCCCTTCCCTTTTTCTCCCCTTCCCCCGGACTACATCCCCCAGGCGCCCCCAGACCCTGCGCTGCGCATGCCTCCTGCTCCCCCCACCTCGTTCTTCCCCCTCCCTCCCCTCCACCTTCCCCCCTCCCCCGCGCCTCCTCTCCCGCATCCCTCCATCCCTCTGCCGCAGCCGCATCGCCACCGCAGCCCTGGTACAGCCAAGCCCGGCCCAGGCCCCTGATCCTATCCCTGTTCCGGCCAGGCTCGGTCTCCTACCCCCTCCCCTGGGGAACCCAGGTGGCTCAGGTACCCCTCTAGTCTCCAGGTTCCGGGGAACCCCTGCGCCCCCGGCCCGTGGCCCCTCACAGCTTAGGCAGGAGGGAGAGACAAGGAAGAGGAGGAGGAGCCGCCGCAAGATGAAGGATCGGACCCAGGAGCTGCGGAGTGTGAGTTGGGGGGGAGGGAGGAGGTGGGGTGAGAGAGAATTAGGGGGCAGCAAGCACCCCGTTATTTGGGGAGGGGGCATGGAGAAGGCATTGAGATGAGGGGCGGAGAATTCTATGAGAGGTGGCTTAATGGGATGGATATACAGGTTATCTCAGGGAGATTCCAGTATTTCCAGAGTGTACCCCCATATTCTAAGGGGATTGGGAAAGCCTGGGAAGGATTAGGAGACTGAGATGAGAAGAGGAATTTGGGGAGGTAGACTGGGGCCTCATACTCTGTATTTCCAAGAGAGTCTCTAGTATATGGCAGGGGATGGGACATGTTTAGGAGAGAATGGGGAAGAAGGGCCCCCTGGAGATGGGAGGTGAAGGGGTCTGGGGCCCAAAGACATATGATGACATTTGGGAGAATGAGAGAGACTGTAAGGACTAGAATAGACTTTAATGGTAGCTGTGTAACAAACTGATGTGCCCCAGTGTCTTCAGTGGGAATCTTAATATGGGGGGGGGGATGAAGAACACTGAACAGCTTAAGAGGAAACCCTGGGTAACTGAGGAAGAGGAATGTGGGGAAAGGGGCTTGTGTAAGTATTTCCCCCCACCTTTTCTCTGAATGGGGGTTCCTGAGATTTGAAGAAACTGAGAGAGCTTGGAAAGGCCTAGAGGGAGCAGATGTGGATAGACAGCAACTGTAATTGTTAAGACACCCCAATATTGGATTGGGCTTGGGACCAAATATGAGATGTGGGAGAAAGGGGAGTTGGCGGAGGATGGCTCAGGGGAACAAGGCACCGTGATAGTTTGTGTGGGATGGGAAAGCGCCTTGGAGTGACAAGAAGGTACTGGGTATGCTGATTGGGGAACGTGATGGGAAGTGGTTTGGGGCAGCAAAAGTCCCCTATGTCTGGGGGAAGGTGAGAGGCATGAAGATGATAGAGATAGGAAATTCTGGACCCTAAGGCGCAGTAGGAGGCTTGGGGGAAGGATAAGTTTGAGGGTCACACGTTTTGTAAAGGAGATGTTGCTATTTTGGAAGGAGAATTGAGAAGCCCAGGAGAGTCTGGGATGTGGGAATTTGAAGAGGAGGGAGGGGTCCACAGGCCCATGAGGAAGGACTCCAGTAATTAGGAACATTGAGATGAGGACTGAAAGAAACACTGAGACTTGGAAGCATTTGGATAGAAATGAAGATATTTGGTTCGAAGGGGTGGCTGATAATTCAAAGCCTTATGTAAAATTAGGATGCTGTCAGAGAAGGGGGCGGAAGAGGTTGATGGCCGAGGGTAATGAGAAGGGGCATTGATACTTAGTCCTTGACATTTTAGAGACAGCAAGAGAAAAGGAATGTTAAAGACAGTGGTTTAGGAAACTGAGTCGCCTAGTGGAGAGGGAACTGGGACACTTTAGACAGAAGGAAGGAGCTGAGGGTTGGGAGATGTCATTTGGAAGGATAGGGCTCCCCAGATTTTAGGAAGCAGGGATATCAAGGAAAGGGAGACAGGTTATGTGGCTTGGGATAAACTGAATTTGTGGGATTGTGGTATAAAAGGAAAGAATGAGAATCTAGGGGGTCCTTGAATATTTTCTGAAAGGGTTTTTCTAGGGGGAGGTGAAAGGGGAGGAAACTTCATATCTGAGTGGGCCAAGGAGATACTAGTTGGGATGTGAGGAATTGTGGAGGTAGCAGAATTGTCACCCAAATGTTGGAAGGAGGGGCTGGAAGAGCTGGGGAGTTCTTGGGAGGAGCGACTAGGGGCTGGCACAGTCATTCTGGGAGATCAGAACTTGATGGACCTGTTGGTCAATCAATGACCATTTATACTGGGAGGGGAAGGGGGAGGGGGAGGATAGTAAAAGCCTCCATTGGTTTAGGAAGAGTTGGAGGAGTTAAATTCTAGTAAAGAGAAGAGGAAAGCTGGGAGGGGAGAGAGAGGAATGGGGGAGACTGAGTGGAGATTGTCGTGGCTGTCATATTTTTGGGGTGAAATTCAAAGGGTATTAGAGGAGACAGATACATTGAAAGGGACTGGGGAGGGAGATACTAGGAAGAACTGGAAAGCTTTGGAGTATAGGGGGGTAGTCCAGAGAAATGAGAAAGAGGTGTCCCCTCTAGGTTTTGGAGGGGACTGGGAAACAGCAGGAGGGGGACATTATTGGGCTGAGGTAGTCATTAATTGGTGACCTAAGTCTGTTGAGTGAAGCCTTAGATTTGGGGAAAGGAAAGGACTGGAAAAGGGAAAGGAAGAGGGCTGGTAGGGGAACCTAGAGAAGGAAAATGATGGAGCCTGTGGGGAAAGGGGAAAGAGGGAGCCGAAGGAATGGTTGGAGTCAGGAGGCTGTAAGAAGTGGAAGTCAGGAGCAGCTGGGCACACCAGAAGGGGCGATGGATGCCTGAAACTGGGGAGGACAGATGGAGGGAAAAGGAGGTAAGGCCTCGAGGGTGAAGGCAGAAAAGAACACGGGGTCAGGAGGGAACAGGAGCTGGATTGAGAGACTGGGGAGAAATAGAGAGGCCAGAAAACATGGCAGCAGAGAGTCTGGGAAAGCAGGAGACTGTAGGAAGAGTTAGGAGAGTGAATAAGCTCAAGGACAAGAGACAGAAAACTGCCTTAGGATGGGAAAAAGAGAAAGGGACTGGAGCAGGAGTTCCTGACCTGGGGCTGTAGATAGATTTCAGTTGGTCTGCGATAGTGGATGGGGAAAAATCTGTATTTGTATCTATATATCTTTTTTTCCCCACTAACCTCTAAGCTGAAATTGAGCCTCCTTCATGTAAGCAATAAGCCACAGTAGTATTAGGTTCACCAGACTACCAGAGAGGTCCATGATTCCCCCTCCCCACAAAAAGTTAAGAACCCCTGTTAGAGTTGGGGTTAGAAAAGGAGATCAGAGACAGAGGTGAAGTAATGACTTGGAGACATGGAGGGATAAAGAACAGATGGAAGAAGGAGTGAATAAGAAATAATACATACTTGAAGGAAAGAAATATTTAGTGTCAGAACTTGGGGTATAAACGAGGAGATAGTGAGAGGCACCCTGAGTGGGAAAAGAATTGGGCTGGGAGGAAGCCAGCCCTGGGGTAAAGGAAAAGGGATGGGGAAGAATGAAGAGGGGGTAAGGGGTGAGATTGGAACATTTAAAGAGTAAGCGAGGAAGGGGGTAAAGAAAAGGGGGACCTAGTTCTGTGGAGTGGAAGGGGAAAGGAATTGGAGAAGAGTTCAAGTCATGGGAGGAAAAGAGATGTAGGAAAGGGGCCAGGAGAGAAAGGGAAAAGAGAGAGGGAGGGAATGGAGACTGGATCAGAATGGGGGAGCTGGAAGGACAGAAGCCATTATAACAACTACTCTTGACCCCATTAGAACTCAGATTTGGTCATAACTGCCCCAAAGGGAGCTAATATTCCCCCAGGAGACAGAGAGGGAGAGAGGGAGAAAGAAAGAGAGAGAGAGAGAGAGAGAGAGAGAGAGAGAATGTGTGCGTACATGTGCACGCAGGCTTGCGTGTTTCCCATTTGATCTCTCACCCAGTTTGCTTATGTGTCTCTTTGTTTGGGTTTCGATCTCAATGTCTCTCTGTTTTGGTTGTCATCTCTATATGTCTCTCCATCACCATCTGCTTCCCCGTCTTTTGCTCATGTGTACTGGCTTTCTCTGACTCTGTTCCTTTCACTAACTCTCTCACTTAGGTTTGTCTCCACCTTCTCTCTGTTTTCTTCATTTTTTCCTTTCTTTTTCTCCCTTTCTCTCTCTTTTCTGCATCTGTCTTTTTATTTTTCCTCTTTCCATCTTGTATTTTTCTGTGTCTCTCCTTTTCTCTCTCTATCTCCCTTCTCCAGACTCTCCCTTCTAGTCTCCCTCATCATCTGTGGGTCTCTGATTCCCAAGGAGTTTGGCTTTATGGGGCCCTAAAAGGGCTGGACCTATCAGGCAGGAGGCAAGACAGGATTTGGATGGCCTCCTCCCTGCTTGCATTTCCCTGAGTGAGCCAGTGCCTGAGTAACAGCTCTTAGGCCGGCTGGAGGCCCAAGCTTTGTACCCTCCTGCAGGCTTACAATCTGGAGCCAGCTGGAGGCAGCAGCACAAGATCTGGTGTGCTGGAGCTATAAGGCAGGGAAACACTGGGTTGGAGGTTCTGGGAAGGAGGCTTGGGGAAAAGATGAGAGAGGGTAGCTCTGGAAGGGAGGCATCATATAAGCAGCTGGGATTCTCTCACATAGCCTGTGTTCAGGGCCCCCCTCTGCAGGTTACACAGCCTCAATCTTTCCATAGAAGATTTTGGAAGTTGTGGGGGTTGGGGAGGAATGGAAAACAACAGACGTTTTCCATTTTCATTTAAAATCTCACCTGCCTGCAACATGCTTTCTTTTGCTCTGGGTCTAATTCCTCTGAGATTGAGAAGCTATATTCACTGTTCTTGGAATCATAGAACCACAGAAGGTTGCAACTTAAAAGGGACCTTTTAAGACATTGTAGAGCACCATAATATAAGGGACCTTAGAGGTCAGTGCAGAGGGTCAAAACTTTTTTGGGTTATGGATCCCTTTGACAGTCTGGTGAAGCCTGTGGACCTCTTCTTGGAATAATGTTTGTAAAAGCACAAAATAAACTACATATGACTATAGAGGAAACCAATTATGTTGAAATACAGTTAACAAAATGTTAAAAAAAAAAAACAAGATCCAAACCCTCCCTCCCTTTTTTTTTAAGTAAAGGAAACTGAGGCCTATAGAGAGAGAGATTTGGTCAAGGATACATAAGGAGTCAATAGCAAAATTAGGACTAAAACCTAGGGGAATCTAGTTCCCGAGGTAGTGATTTGAGGTTGGGCAAAGACTCTAAGTCTGATGGATAGCAGTGACCAACCTTGAGGTTGGCCCCCAAATGTCCATATGACTAAGAGGAAACTAGCAGGATGGACTCCTTCTATGAGTGAACCAGAGAGGAGAAAAAGGAGCTGACCCAAGTGGAGAGAGATCACTTACCTGTAGAAACAGCCTGTTGGTGAAAAGTAGCATGATTTTCAGACCCTAGGAGAAGACAGGCATGCTGTGAGGGCCAATAGAAAGATCACTGGTCAGAGAGTCAGGAGGCCTGGATTTCAGTCTTGCCTCTGATTTGAGCCAGTCACTTCAGGTGCCTCAACCCCAATTTCCTCATCTTTTAAATTAGGGTAATAGACCCACATCCCTGCCTCCCTCACAGATCAAATTGTGAAGGAATTCATTGGAGACACAGCTGAAGGGACACGAGCTAGGCCTCAAGAAGAAATTTCTAAGGCCATCAGAGGATAGAGGGAAGGAGGCTGGGGATGGGAAAGCTCTCAGGCTTTTTGGCCCAGAGGTGGAGGGATCCAGTGACTTGTGAAAGGAGGATAGAATTGAGAATTTAAGCAAAAGTCTCCAAAAGGAGTAGCCTCTTCAGGGAGAGTTTTTCAGTTCAACAGTTTTTTATGCAGTACCTGGTTTTCACCTGAATCACTACCACCCACCCTTTGGAGGGCAGAAAAGAGCCTTTTGTTGAGGCCTTTGGGAGCCCAGGGCTGAGGTCCATCTTCAGGGGGGCAGAGAAGGGGAGGTAGGCATGTCCTCCAGCCACTAGTGCTAAGGAAGGTAGCCGTGAGGAAGGAGGAGGAAGAGGAAGAAGACTGACAGGGGAAGCTGGAGGAGATGGGAGATGGGAAGAGAGGGCTGAGAAGAGACAGACACAGGAATTGAGATTGAGGCCAGAGGCCTCAGGAAGGTAGCAACTAGAGAAGGAAGGAAAAAAACAGAACAGAAACAGAAAGGGAATATGTGTATATTGAGTTCATCTGTGTGTATCCGTGTGTGTGTGTGTGTGTGTGTGTGTGTGTGTGTGTGTGTGTGTGTGTTCTGTGCTGTGTCTTATTGTGTGGGTACCTGTCCATGGTAGATATGTTGAGGTATACTTTGGTGCAAATTTCCCTTTTATGTATGTGTGTGACCATGTACCATAGAGAGGTGTCTCTCCCTGGTATACACTTACCCTATGCTCCTGAATCTGTCTATACTCCCATACATATGTTCCTGGGGGATTCTGAGTGTGTCTTAATATGAGAAGATTCAATAAACAACAATAAATTTCCACTTCAAGAAAACCTATATAATAAATGCCACACATTTTTTTCAAAGCTACCCAGCTTTGCTTCCTTATAGGTTTTCTTTTGTTCTTTGCTGTGCACTTTTTACTTTATTTTTTTGCCTTCCTCCTCCTATCCCCGCTTTAAAGAAGGCTACAGTTAAACTCAGATATATATATATATATATATATATATATATATATATACTTAGATACCCATAAACATATACATATACACTCATACACATATATATATAAGACCGTACTATGCATATTTCCACCTGTCATCTGTTTTCTCTGAAAGTGGATAGCATCTTCCTTCATAAGTCCAAGTCTTTCCATGTTTTTCTAAATCAAGCAGCTCATCATTTCCTATACCACAGCAATATTCCAACACAATCATATCCTATCTGAGAGATTGTTTATGAAAATTTTTTCCCCAAGTTTTCTGCATTCCTTCTATTCTTGTTTATACTAATTTTATTTATATAAGAAATTTTCAATTTAAAATAATCAAAATTATCCGCTTTACACTTTAACAGTGCTCTCACCATATAATAAAATTTAAAGTCTGATACTGTTAAATCCCCTTCCTTTACATCTTTTTTCCTTGGTTTCTTTGAAATTCCTAACTTCTTCCAAATGAACTTTGTTATTATTTTTTCTAACTCAATGAGATAATTTTTTAGTAATTTAATTTGGATGGCATTGAATAAGTAGATTAGTTAGGTAAAATTGTCATTTTTTTTGTTGTATTGGCTTTACCTACCCATGAACAATAAATATTCCTCCAATTATTTAGATCTGACTTTATTTGTATAAAAAGTGCTTTATGTTTATGTTCATATAGGTCCTGTGTCTGTTTTGGTGGGTACATACATATATTCTTGGGTGTATCTGTGTGTCCATGTTATGTATTAGTGAATCTTCATATGCTCCCTTACACAAGAATCTTTGGATTTCTTTGTGTCTGTGACTATCTGTTTTGATGATTGTGTCTGGTAGGATCTGTGTGTATGTATGGATATATGTTGCTTTCTCTGTGAAGGAGCACTGAGTGTTTCTGTCTTTATGTCAGTGGGGTCTGTGTAGAAATGAAAGCTTGAGATCCCCAAATACTTACCATCCCCAGAAGGGACAGAGATGAGACCACACAAAGAAGGTTGCACAGCAGCCTCCCCAGGGCATGGGTGATACAGGAGCAAGTCAACTGAAATCTCTGTCTTCTAGGGTTCTGTCTAGTCTACATCTTCTACGCTTTATCTTGGGATTCCACTTGAAAACTGTATTTGGGCTGCATCTGAGGTTAAGTGATGTCTGAGGACTTTCTTTGTTTGTTTTCTGAGGCTCTGTGGTTTTTACTTAGACACCAAGGCCTTATCTAAACTCTGAGACTTTATCTAGGTTCTGTTTTGGTTCTGTCTGGGTTCTATTCTGTCTGAGTGCTGTCTAGATTCTGCCCAGGTTCTGTTTAAGTTCTGTCTGGTTTCTGTCTAGGCTGTCTGGGCTCTGCTAAAGTTGTCTAGACCCTGTCTAGGTTCCATCTGAGACCTTACCTGGGTTCTGTTTGGGTACTGTCTAGGCTTTGTTTAAGCGCCATCTGAGACTGTCTGGGTTCTGTCTTGGGTTTGTCTTTGCACCCATTTGGGCCTCCACCTAGGCTGCTGGGATCTCTGTCTAGGCTCTCTCTGTGTTCCCAGGTTCAAATCTGAGGCTCTGTCTGGGCAAAATTTGTATGCTCGGCTCTGCCTAGGTTTCATCTTGGGCCACATCATAGTTTGGGCTCTGTTGGAATCACTTTCTAGGTGTCTTTTTGAGGCTTAGCCTGGGATCTGTCTTGGGATCTGGGTTTCTACCTGGATTCCTGTAGGACCACTAGCTTGGGTTGGTCTGGGGCTCTTTATGGATGCCAGACACTGAGATAGACATGCTCAGTGTGGCAGACACTAGATTTGACCTGAAGGACCTTCTTTGCCAGGACCAAAGGAAGGTTGGGAGTCCATCCCTCCTTCTGCTCTTCTGTTCTATCCCAGCCTTTTCTCGAACTGAGGGATGTGAGCAGACCTAGGTACACTGAGACTTAGGGGGATAGAAGCAGGCTGTAGAACAGGTGGGAGGGATGTGTGTGTCTATCAATGTGTGTGTGTGTGTGTGTGTGTGTGTGTGTGTGTATGGGACTTTGTGTGTTGGTGCATGTCTGTGTGTATCAGTGTGTGGGTGGATGACAGCAGTTCGTGTATCAGTGTGCAGGTGTGTCTGTGTCAGGGTGAATGTGTGAGTGTGTGCCTCTTTGTGCCTGTGGGTATTGGGGGTGGGGGGCTGAACAGTGCCACAAGAAAATCCAAGCAATAGAAAGTAAGTGGGTGTCAAGTTAGGGGAATGAAAGGCAGAGAACTGTGTGGAATGGAGTTGGGGTGGGGGGAGGAGGAGGGAAAGAGCATTCTGAGGCCTGCACAGGATGTCAGGGCTGAAAAATTGTGTGAGGTCTCAGCCTTCTCCTGTTCTCTCCTGTCCCAGCTCCCCAGCTATGGCCCTGACTATGTCTGGCTCCCCATAGGCAGGCAGCTGGGCTGTGACCTTGCAAAGGGGACACAGCCAACTGAGGGAGGAGCAAGAGGGACTTGAGGAGTGGGGGACCTTAAGGGGAGAGGCTGAGGCTAAGCCAAGCCAAAGTGGGTGAGAAGAACCAGGGTGGGGTGCGGACAAGTCACCTCCCCCTACCCATACCCAGTCCTTGAATTTCATGGCAGGGGAACAAAGAAGCAGGATTCTGTCTCTTCTTCTTGGTGCCAGAGCTGGACGGGCTTGGATGAGCGGGACTCAGGTGGAGGGTAGTGGCTTTGACCTTGACAGGACAGAGATGCACACGACCTACCTTTGCTTTCCAGGCGAAAGACAGTGATGATGAAGAGGAGGTGGTACATGTGGACCGAGATCATTTCATGGATGAGTTCTTTGAACAGGTAAAAATTTCATAGGAAGCTCCAGTCCCTGTCCTGGAAGGCATCTCAGCTCCCACTTCCTTCCCCAACCCCAAATCCCAAATCTCCAGGCTTCCTCTCCCTCTGGGCCTCATCTACTCACCAAACTTCCTTGAGCATGTTTTTTTCCGTACTAGAACTATGATTTCATGGGTGTCAGGAGCTCTCTATAAAGAACTCCCCAAACCCATGCAGACTGATTCATTGGTAGTATGGGGTTAGTGATGACAAAAACCCAAGGAGGGAGAGGTCACGAATGAGAGCTAACCTCCGAATCAGAAAGACCTGAGTTCAAGTCCCCCATATCCTGGCTGTGTGACTCTCTAGGCAATGCTCTAAAACTATAATTTGCCAAGAAATAGTCAGTCTGCATTGGAAGGGTCTAGGGGTTCTGGCACCTCTGGGCCCTTCTACCTGTTATCCTGAGTCTCTCCACCCTTCCCATGCATCTGTCCAAACTCTACAGGTAGAAGAGATCCGAGGCTGTATTGAGAAGCTATCTGAGGATGTGGAGCAGGTGAAGAAACAGCACAGTGCCATCTTGGCTGCCCCCAATCCCGATGAAAGTGAGTGAGGGGAGTACCAAGGAACTTGGACCTCAAGCCAGGACAGGGGGAGGGGGAAAAGGTCATCTGGACCTCCATTGGCTCATTGTCATAATCAGTTACCAAATCCTATGTATTCTACTTCCACAGTATCTCTGGTATCTATCCCTTGCTCTCTATTGTCACTCCTGACACTTTCTCGTACAGGCCCTAACCTGTACCTGTAACCTACCTGGAATATTACAATAGGCATCCCATTGGGTCTTCCCACCTCTCCTTCCTCCCCAAACTCATCTATCTTTGCTTCTAGAATACTCATTCTTACACATAGATCTAGTCATGCCTCTCTTCTAATAAAAAAAAAATTAACTAATTCCCTATTTATTTCCTCCGAGTTCAAACTCTTCTGCTTAGCATTCAAGGCCCTCCATAACTAATGCTAACACACCTTTCCAGCTTTATTTCTTATTATGCCTCCTCACAGCCTTTAGGTAGACTGTACTCTATCTCCTAAACATGCACTAAGCTTTTCTACCTCAGTGCTTTTCTTTAGGGTTCCCTCTGCCTACATGTTCTCTCCTTTCCTTTTCCCTTTTTGAATTTCTGAACTGTAGGCCCAGTTCAGAAAGCCCTGTCCCTCCCCAATCCCATTGTTGATAGTGACCTTCCCCTTGGACCCCCATAGCACTTTGTTTTACATATCCATAAAACATTTACAAGTAATGTCATGTGCAATATATAGCTAACTGTATTTGTCTCTTATCCTCTTGCTAGATTGAAAGATCCACAAAGGCAGGTGCCGTGTCTTACCCTCTGCCCCCAGCTACTCTAGACAAGACATAGTTCACTTACATGCCTTTTTTTCTCCACCTCTTGCCTCAGTTCTCTCCCGGGTTTCCTCATCCCTAAAATAAAAAGTGGATGATAGTGAGAGGTCACATTTCTCAAGCACTTTCTGGTTTACAAGATGCTTTTCTCATCTCAGCACTCAGGTTGAAAATGTCAGTTGGGGATATGTGCAAAATGGAGCAGGGCTTACAGATCTCATCTCCATTTTACAGAGGGGGAAACTGAGACCCAGAGAAAGGAGGGTCACCTGGCTAGTAAATTATCTAAGCTGAGACTTGAACTTTTTCTTGAACGTGGAACCAGAGATCAAGCCATCAATGAACTGAGGTTCACACAAGTAAAGTAACTTATTCAAAGTAGCAACTGGCAAAGCTGAGATTCAAACCTGCAGCCTCTGAGTCTAAATTCAGTCCTTTTTTCTTTTCAGTACACTGGCCCCTCAGGTATTCGGACAAGTCCAATGTTCTCTCTACTACATCATGGTCACTCTCTGATGATGTAATTTGCCTGCTCTATCCCCTCCATCTACACAGTCTTGGGGTTGTCAGAACAAGGCCTTCATGACTGACTTCCTGTCTCATCATCATCCTACCACTTCACCCCCCAGAAAAGCTCTACAGGTTTTCACCCACTTGTGGAGGACAAGAGTATAAATCTAGTGTTCCCACATTCCCCGTGATTAGTTGAAGGAAGTGGGGATGTTTTAGCCTGCAGAGGAGAAGCTGCCTTCATGTAGTTTGGCTGCTATCACAAGGAACAGTAATTAAACTTGTTCTTCTGGGCCTCAGAGAGCAGAACCAGGAGCAATGCTAAAAACTCAAACTGATAAAGATTTACAAAGTACTTTCCTCACAATAACGTGAGAGGAAGGCAGTATTATTTCCATTTTACAGAGGAAGAAACCAAGATTCAGGGAGGTTAAATTATTTCTCCCAGGATCACACACATGGCTATTAAATGGCAGAGCCATGACTCAAACCCATATCTCTTGACCCTAAGTATAAAACCATGGTGCCTCGCAAAGATGTAGATTTCTGCTCCATGTTAGGAAGTTTCCCCCTGTAAATTAGAGATAACCAAGAATATAATGGGCTATCCTGGAAAGTAGTAAATTCTTCATCATTAGTTCTCCATCAGTGGAAGCTACATGATCGTTTGTCAGGGGCTTTACACACACACACACACACTCAGAGAGAGAGAGAGAGAGAGAGAGAGAGAGAGAGAGAGAGAGAGAGAGAGAGAGAGAGAGAGAGAGAGAGATATTAGTCAATTATGGTTTGACCAGATGAACTCTGAGACCCTTTTGGATTCAAACTTGACCTTTTCCCTCTTTTCCCTCTCAGAGACCAAACAGGAGCTGGAAGACCTGACTGCAGACATTAAGAAGACGGCCAACAAGGTTCGATCCAAGTTGAAAGGTGAGGAACATAACCCTAAGACCTTGGGCTCTCACTGATTAGTCTATGAGGGAAAATGCTATCCCTCCACCAAGATAAAAAAAAAAAACAAAACATCATCTCCTACATAGATTTACAGGTAAATCTCATATGTTTATCCAGACTCCCAAACAATAGAAACTCAAACCCTGTCACTGACTACTGAGAAACAAACAGGTGATAGGGAAGTAAGCTCTCCCCTCCCCGCTAAAAAAGAATAGAGATTCCATCTGCAATGGCTACCAGTAGCAGGTGTTGTCATGACAGGTGTGTCTCCTATATGACTGGCACCAATTAAAAAAAAAGGCATCCATTTCTCCAGAATCCTCAGGGAATGAACTTCGAGCCCTGGGTAGTATGAGCTCAGCCTTATCTCCATTCAGCAAATGCTTGTGAAAGTCTTTGGCTGAGTACTGATTCAGCACATCTCTGTGATATAGTGGAAACAACTCAGGGCTGGAAGTCATGAGACCTGCGTTCTGAGTTCTAATCCTGGTCTGTGTTACCATGTGACCTTGGAGAAGTCATTTCCCTTCTCTGGGCCTCAGTGTTCCCATCTATAAAATGAAGAGGTTGGTCCTGGATGTTCTTTAAGCTCTTTTCCAACATTCTGTACTTCCTTATTCTAAGATTCCATCCAGTTCTGATACTCTTGTATTCTATGTTCCAAGTTCCCTTCCAGTTAGGACATTCTGTGTTCTAAGGTGGCTTCAAGCTCTGATTTTAGAGATTATCTATTGTTGGGGTTCCCAGCCTATGACCACTGATCGTAATGGAGGGCCATGGAGTAATTATTGTAATTACTTTGCAAAGTATTTGCAAAATTATTGCAGAATCCACACATTCTTGTATGCTCTTGTTTAGTCATTGATAATGTCCATTTCTTCAGCTTCTGGATACTAGTAGTACAATAAAATATATTAGGCAGCGAGGTGGTGCAGTGGATAGAGCCCTGGACCTGGAGTCTGGAAGACCTGAGTTCAAATTTGACCTCTGACACTTGCTAATTGTGTGATCCCAGGCAATTCACTTAACCTCTGTCTGCCTCAATTTCCTCATTTATAAAATGGGGGCAATAATAGCACCTATTTCCCAGGGTTATAATGAGGATAAATTGAGATAATATTTGTGAAGTGCTTTGCAAATCTTTAAATGCTATGTAAATGCTGGCTATTATTATTATTACATGAGTTCATATATGTGAAATGCTTTGCAAACCTTAAAGCACTATATGAATTCTAGCTATTATCATCATTATTGGAAAATCATGTGAAATGTTTTGATGTTAAAAAGAGATCCTTATACTTGAAAAGGAAACTATTATAGGCACTGGAGACAGAGGATCTGGGTTCAAATCTCACTTCTGACACTTAGTACCTGTGTGATCTTGGACAAGTTACTTCACTTCATCTGTAAAATGAGGGGATGGGCTTGATGACCTCTGAGTTCAGCATCTGTGACCCTATTGAAATAGTCCATTCACAAGATCCTAGATATAGACTGGGAAGGATATGCGAAGTCATTAGTCCCATCTCCTCATTTTATGACTGAGGAAACTGAGGCTCAAAAGAAGGGAAATAACTTCCCCAAGGCCACCACAATAAGAGAGGCCAGAACTGACCTCTTGCTCAAGGTCTCAGGGGTAAGGAAATAGCAAACTCAGGATTTGAATCCGGGTCCCCTGACTCCAAACTCAGTGCTCTTTCCACCCTGCCACCAAAGCTGCACACACTCATTTTATTTATAAAGTTTTATTGATGCTTTTTGTTTTTTTAACACCAAAGTCATTCCCTGTTTAATCCCACCCCATCCCCACCCCCTCCTCTCAACCACCAGAGAACTCTCCTGAACAAAGAAAAAGCATTTAGGCAAAACTGACTAACACAGGGACCTCATCTGAGAGCATGGGCAACATTCCAAACCCGGTATGTAAATCTGACACTCAGTTTGTCAAATCACTCCATTTTACAGAGCAGGAAACTGAGGTCCAGACTGACTTGCCCAGGGTCACCAGTAAGTCAAAGCTAGAGGATGAGTGCATGTTCTGACTCTAAGTCAAGTTTCCTTCCCCTACAATATGGAGCCTACTGAGCAATGTGACTTCCTCCGGTCATCTTAAATCTGCCATTTACTGGCAGGCCACTAGTTAATAATCTCTGTCTTATAGTCCAAGCTCCATGCATAGATGGGGCAGCCAATGTTCTTTAGACACAGCCCTTAGGCCTTAAAATGGCCCACAAGATTCCTACATTTCCAGTCTTCTACACTTTACTCCCCCGCAATGCAGTCTATGATCCTGTCACACTGGCCTACATGAGACTTCCTCTTACATGAAACTCCATCTCTTGGCTCTGTGCATTTTACACTGGCTGTGTACCCTATTATACCTGAAAAGCTCTCAGTCATCACCTCTACCTTTAGCTTCCTTCAAATTCCAGAGGCCTTTCCTGGTCTCTTCCCTCCCTCCCCCTAGTACTTTCCCCTGGGATATTTCCATTTATCAATTTTATATCTGTACATTTATCTCTATCCATACGTAGTTACTTACATGACTTCTCCCCCCTCCCCCATTAGAATATAAGCTCCTTGGGGGCAGGGTTTTTGTGGAGTTTGGGTTTTTTGGGGGGTTTTTTGCCTTTCTTTGTGTTATCAGCATTTGGCACATTGCCCATCGTATAGTAAGCACTTAATAAATGCTTATTAATGTATACATCATTAAGGGAAGATTGAATTACATTTGACAGAGTTTTAGGCTCAAAATATATTTTATCACATTCCCAATTCTTCAAAGATTGGGAATCAGTGCATGGCTATTCTCAGTTATGGAAGATGACTATTACCCAAGATATGCTTCCTCATGCATTCCAGATAAATTGAAGCTTGTTACAGGAAGCTATGATTAGTTTGGGAAGGAGTGTCATAGGAAGTCTTGTGGGTCACCCCTCCCTGCCTGCTGGTCTCCCCTTTGCCCTGCCCCACACTCTTCACTCTGCTTACCTGCTCTCCCGGCAGCGATCGAACAAAGTATTGAGCAGGAGGAAGGACTCAACCGCTCTTCGGCTGACCTTCGTATCAGAAAGACTCAGGTAGGAGGGAACGACCCCTCCCCAGGAATGCTCCCCAACCATCCTTCACCCCAAGCAGTAGCACAATCTCATGGAGTCATCCCTGGCCTGCCCAGATTGGTCTTCACATCTTGATCATCTGACTTGTCAGAAGTCTGCCCAGCCCTGAGCTCTGGAGGGGCACAGTCAAAAACCATAGCCCTTTTCTTGTGGATGGTGCCCATATCCAAACTAGGGGGTGCAAGGTAGAGGTGGGGAGGGGGAAATGGGACTTAATCAACTCCCCAAACCTGGCCTTCTCTCTCTCTCTCTCTCTCTCTCTCTCTCTCTCTCTCTCTCTCTCTCTCTCTCTCTCTCCTCTCTATTTTTTATTCTCTTTGCCCACCTTTTCCCCACCCATCAACCACTTCCCCAATGTCACTTAATCTTTGTCTCTTAATCTCTGGCTTGTCTTATCTTTATCTCTTTCCATCCTTCTCTCCCTTCCCTATCTTACCTCTGCTTCTCCTTTCATCCTCATTATCTCTTTCTATCTTCACGTTCCTATCTCTCTCCCACTTCCTCCATCATCTTTCTCCTTTATCTTATCTTCTCTGCCTACCTTTCCCTGCCTTTCTCTTCTCTTCTCTCCTCTCTTTCTCTTCTTTCCCTACCCTTCTCTTTCTTATCCCTTTCTTTTCCTCTTCCTTTTCCTCCTCCTCCTCATTCCTCTCCTTCTCCTTCTCTCTGCCTCTTTCTCTCTCCCTTCCCCTCCTGTGTCTCTGTCTCTCTATCTCTCTGTCTCTGTCTCCCTCTCTCTGTCTCTGTCTGTCTCTGTCTCTGTCTCTCTCTTTCCCTTACCTTGCCTCCTCTCATCCTTTTTTCTCTTGGCCTTACCTGGGGGTCTATTCCTCCCCCCATCCCCTGAAGCACTCCACACTGTCCCGGAAGTTCGTGGAGGTGATGACTGAATATAACGCAACGCAGTCCAAGTACCGAGACCGATGCAAGGACCGGATTCAGCGACAACTCGAGATCAGTGCGTACTTGGCCCTCCCATCCCTGCCCACCCAACCTTCCCCAAATTCTGACTTGCTCCTGGGCTGTGCTTGAGGCTCACAGACCCTGGGACCAATCTAGGACCTACAGTTCCAGGAGGCGAATGGGGTGGGGAGAGAGGTCTAAACTGAGGTTGAGCCCACCTCTTTTAGGCCTACACTAAAGACAGGCTTGGGGGTTCCTCTAGGCCCAGACCTTTCCCTGGATATCCATCCTGTCTTCTCTTCAACTGGCCCCCTCCCTGGGCTATTCCCAACTTCTACAGCATCCCTTTCTCTCTGCAGCTGGAAGGACCACAACCAATGAGGAACTGGAAGACATGCTAGAGAGTGGAAAGCTGGCCATCTTCACGGATGATGTGAGGGAGGGACCAGAGTGGTGGGTGGGGGCAGCCTCAGCATTCTGTGATTATCCTTCAACTTAGCACAGAACTATTTTGGCTCATTTGTCCATGTCCAGAAACAGTTCCTAGGGACTCTCCCTCCTCTTGGGTTCTTTATTATTATTTTTTTTCTCATCCAAACCCTATCTTTCTGTCTTGACATCATTTTGTCTCCTTCCCTCTCCATATCTTCCTCTTTCTGTCTTGCCCATCTCTCTCTCTTACACAGTAATCAATCAATCAGTCCACAAGCATTTATTAAGTACCTACTGCATGCCATATGTGGGTCCCTTAATTATTGGGATGGGTCCTTGATAGTGTCTATGGGAGCTGGGGGCATAAAGGAGTTCATTTCACAATGAAGGGGAGAGATCCAATATGTCTGCTGCTGAGGCCCATTCTTCATTCCCATCCCCACCCCAACCCCCCAGATCAAGATGGACTCACAGATGACCAAGCAGGCTCTGAATGAGATTGAGACAAGGCACAATGAGATCATCAAACTGGAGACCAGCATCCGGGAGCTGCATGACATGTTTGTAGACATGGCCATGCTTGTGGAAAGCCAGGTAGAGTTGTGGGACTCCAGCCTGCTAGCCTTTGTCCCTGCAGACCTTTCCCCTGTTACTTTTGGCGCTGGACCACTTGGAGCCATCTGGGGCCCTTATTTCTGCAGGGGGAGATGATTGACCGAATTGAGTATAACGTGGAACACTCTGTGGACTACGTGGAGCGGGCTGTGTCCGACACCAAGAAAGCCGTGAAATATCAGAGCAAGGCCCGGAGGGTGAGAGGGTTTGGGCTGGAGCTGGGCCAGGATTGGGTGGAAGGGAAAGAAGTTGGGGACTGGGAGGCAGAAGGCTGGGGTTTAGGGCGAGAAGTATGAGGTAAGTGGTGAAGTAGGGGTGGAAGGACCTAATCTCCTGCTCTGACCTCTTCCTTCTTTCTGTTTGTCTTTCTCTCCTGCCCTCTTCCTGTGTCTACATCCCCTTTCTCTCTTCACATTCCCAATTCACCTCATCCTCTTTGGCTGTGCCTATCACCTGCTGCCATCTTTGTTTCTCCTATTTCACCTTCTTTTTTCTCTTCTTCTCTTTCTCCTCTCTTTCCTCCTCCAACTTATCTTTTTTCCTCTACCTCCTCCTTCCTTCTCTCTCCCCCCCTCTCTATCTCTGTCATTCCCTCCTTCTCTCTCTCTGTCTCTCTCTCTGTCTCTCACGCTGTCTGTCTCTCTCTCTCTCCTCTTTTTCTCCTCTCTATTCCTGTCTCCATCCTCTTCCTCTCTTACCTCTCCCTTCATCTTCTCTTTTTCTTTCTCCTCTTTCTAACCTCTTCCCTTCTTTTCTCTTCTGCCTTTCTTTTCTCTCACCTTTTTCCTTTTTTACCTCCCTCTTTCATCTTTTTTACTTCTTCCTGTTCTTCTCTCTTATCTTCTCCTTTCTCTTACTGCCTTCATTATTTCCTTTTCCCCTCACCTCAAACTCCTGTCTTTCCCCTTCTTCCTGTTCATTTTCTCCTTTTTTCTTCCTCTAATCCCTTTACTGCCTCTCCCCTTCTCTTCTCTTTCCTTTATCTTCCCTCCTCTCTTTCTACTTTTCTTCTTCTCCCTTTTCCCTCCTCTCCTTGTTTCTTCTCTTACTTCTCTTCTCTTTCCTCCTCTCTTCCTCTTTCCTTTTTTCTTTCTTCCTCTCCTCCCCCCTTTACCTCCTCTTTCCTCCACTTTACCATATCTTTCCTCCTTTCTTCCTCTCCTCCCCTTTCCTTTCTTTCTTCCTTTCCTTCTCCCTTCCTGTCCCTTCGTTCTCCCCTCCTTTTCCTTACTCTTTTTCTCTTCTCCACTATCCTTCCTCTTCTTCCTTTCCTCCTCTCCTTCCTCCCTCTCTCTGTTTCCCTCTACTTTCTCCCACCTGCAGAAGAAAATCATGATCATCATCTGCTGTGTGGTGCTGGGGGTGGTGCTTGCGTCGTCCATTGGGGGGGACGCTGGGCTTGTAGACCTGTCCCCTCACTTTCCCCTCATCTTCTCAAGACCCTCTCACCAGAATGGGAGCAATACCCCTCCCCTCATCCATCCATCCATCCCCCGGCTTCCCCTAGCCCGCCCCCCTTCTTCCACTCCAGTCTCAGCCCCTAAGATTGGATACAGGCAGTCCCCTCCCCCCTCCCACCCATAATGTGGACCTGAGCAATCCCCTCCCCACCCTACCATGACCCTAAAGTGGGACTCCCGTGTCCCATGCCCCCTCTCCGCATGTAGATTACAGCAGGCATGAGCCCTCACCACCTGCCTCTCCCCACACAGGCCTAGCACCATGGGGGCCCACGTGCTGGCGATGTGTAGGGTGGGCACATGTGTGCTCGGGTGTGCGTGCACGCTGGATCCCCCCCCACTCCCTTCCCCCATTGCCCTGTCCCACGTGTCTGCCTGTGGCCTGAGCTGTTGTATACATTGTGGCCGAGTGTGTCCCTTCATCAGTCCCCACTGTGTGCATCCAATCCAGATTGTAGGGGCTCTGATAGTGGGAGAAGGTGCGGGTATATATGTGGATCTGTATGCATACTAACCGACGCGGCGCTGACCAAGTTTGTCTGAGGGACAGCTTCCACATCCACACACACATGCACGCACACACGCTGGTCTGTATGCTCATAAATTGTAGATGACTTTCTGTGATGTGAATATCCACCCTCACCCAGTCTATTCACCCAAGATGTATATAGATCATAGGTCAGGGCGTGTGTGTGCTTGGATACACACATGGAGGTGTAAATAATGTGACTTGGTATGTATATAGAGATATGCTCATTTCTTCCTAGCCATGTGTAGGCAGCCATGTGTACACATACACCTTCTTGCTCTGTTTATCCACACAGTATGTAGATACCTTTTGTGTTTGCTATATTGCCAGTCTTTGTTTAAGCCGTATGGAAATTCACACACACACACACACACACACACACACACACACACACACACGCAAATATTCCTCTCTACTAGATGTATATAAATTACCTTTGCATGTGTGTGCGCACGTATGTGTGTGCATACTCCCACACACAGTTACCTCCAGGAGGTGTGTGTGGAGTATGGTTGTATGTTACCCCCAGGCAGAGCCCACCATACTGTGTATATAACATCTGTTTGTGTGGGCACAGAGATATATATTTCTATGACATATCTATACATATTTGCGTGTGTGTATGTGTGTACATGTGACTACATGGTGTGTATATAACCTGTTACGTATTACATACACACATATATTTATCAGCACAGCTGTGTATCCTGTATGGGTTTGTGTGCATCTGTGTTTATCTGAGATCATTTCCCGCCCTCCTCCTCCCCCTCCAGTCTGTACAAGTTCTCGTGGAGATGCAGGCACAGACACAGAGTCACTCAAATATTGTGCAACCAGGCATTTTGCCACAAGATTGTGGATCCTTCATATACACACAACCAGATTGCTATCTGCACCGTTTCTGCCTCTAGCCTTCATGTTGGTGCATACGAGGCCCTGACACCCCAAAGCTGGCAGGGGCCTCACCTGGGTGGCCACATAACACATACACACGTGCTCACATATGCATGTACACAAATGTGCACACACATGCCTCATTTGTCCGAGAGAACCTGGGGGAAATGATGGGTGTGCATTTGACATACCTCCTGGAGCCTGACAGAATGCAGGGGGTTAGGCAGCCAAAGGCCTGGAAGCAGGATTTCTTTCTGTCCCGGAGGCCCAGTTTCTCCCATGCCCTCTGCTTTAGTCTTCTAGGCCCAATACCCGTCTTTCTCCCAACTGTGTGATCCTGTTACTGCTGGCTCCCGTACTTATTCCTTCTCTGCCTCAGTAACATGGGCCTTGGCTGCCAGCCATAGCAGAACTCAACATGCCCTGAGATGCACCCAGCCTACGCTCGAGCTCCATAGTTAGTTTTTGAGACATGAAACTATTAATTAGTTACTTTATTTTGCTATGTATTTGTCTCAGTTGCATCAGGACTACCACATTTCCTTGTGTATCAACTGCCTTTGTTCTAAGGCCATGTCTGGAGCATAAAATGGTTCATACAAGGGTTGGGCATTCCTCTTCTCCCCCTACCCCCCTGCTCCCTGAATGAAGCAGGGGCTGGCCAGGAAGTACAGCTGCTGTATGGGTAGACTCTTCATCCTTGTGGTGCAGCTAGGGCAGTGTGGGGGTGAGGAGGAAGGTCTCCCATGCCTTCACTCAGGGCCTTGTTTAGGTTGGCATAGCCTGGGAGCTCATGAGAGTTCAGCCTTGCTCTCCACACCTAGGGGCCCCATATTCCTCTCTCTGGTTGGAGAGAGCCAGGCTGGACCTCCCTTATGGTAGCAATAAATAATTCTCCAGCCAGAAAAGACATGCCCTCTCAGGGATGGGCAGCTCTGTGTATGTGTGTATGTAGTATGTGCATGTGTGTTAATGTCTTTGTTTCATGTATATCTCAGTACACACACACATACGCACACAAATACACACATACACACAAGCAACAGTTTCCAGGGGCCTCCTTTGGGCCACTGGTTGAATTATGTACCAGACATAGATGATGTTGGAATGCCTTCTCCCAGGCTGTAGGTATCATCTCCATGTTCAGATATGTGTCTGTTTCATTTGCACACCTACCAACATGGTTGGATATATGCCAATATGCACACACACAACCCTTGGATCACCAATGTCATCACATTGACATAATTCCTCCATCTCCCTCCTTCTCTACTCCATCTCTTAAGCATACGTATATGCTCCTGCACATACCAGCCTTCATGAGTCTGTCCTCAGGGTGTGGCTAATTAGGGATTTTTAGGCCTAGCTGATCCCATATGGAACATACACTAGAGGTGAAGTTGACATGTAAGTGAACTTCCCACATTCTACAACCTCTTTCTCGTGTGTATGTGCATCACACACCCCCTTGGTCAGATCAGGTGTGTTCTTATATGTAGGTAATGGCTGTGGTTGCTGTGCCTGTTTCAGAGTGGTTGCCTACAAGAAAGTTATTTCTCCTGCCCTGGCCAGTAGAGGCCTCTCTGTTTCCAGGAAAAGGCAAGCCAGCTTCTCAGAACAGAAAGTATTTACTATCTAAGTATTTGCTCAGAACAGAAAGTTTTTGCTATCCTTTCCTCCCATTCCTGTCTCTTTCTAATCTCTTTGGCTGAGGCCTTTGTGGAAACCTAATAACCAAAACTCTTTTCTGGTGGGGAGCCACTCAGCCCTCACATCCTTCACCCTTCCAGACTTAGACTGTTTCCCACAGCCCTTCTGCTCTACCATCACCCATCCTCAGGTCCCCTCAGCCCCTGCTGAAGTCCTCAAACCAGGAAGCCCAGACCAGCCTAGGATAAAGGCCAATAATGCAAAAACAGACAGACTACTCCCCACCCATCTGCACAGACACACATACATTAACACATATAAAAAGGAATCTTGGTGTAGTGGAAAGAATCCTGGAATGAGCATTCAGGAAACCTAGGTCCTAGTCTTTGTTCTGCCTCTCAGTGTACATGACTTTGGCCGTGTCTCTTTCCTTGTCCTTCTCTGGGCTTCAGCTTCCTTCTTTAAAAATGACAGTGATAGACTAGATGATCTAAGGTCTTTTCAAATTCTGACATTCTGTGATTTTTACACATACACATATGTAAACACACACATATTTTCTTGCCCACTCTGTGTTCAGAGACAGCTCCCACAGGGTGCCAATTCTACATCACTTCACCCTGTGCTGTCTACATGGTAGATATGCCCACATGCCCATCCTGTGTTTGACAATTGTCCCCATTTCTGTTTCTTCCCCCTTCTCCCCCCCCATCTAACCTCTGAGAATCCCATCAGAACTCCTTTCACTGTTTGGGTCTTCCTGTGTTCTGGGATGTTATGCCCCAGTGATCCCACTACCTCCCCCAGCAAATCTTGTCTCCTTCACCCTGGGGTTTCTGTCCTTGGTTCCCGGGGGTGAGTGATAGAGACACATCCAGGAGTCATCAGAGGCATGTGTTCATACACGCTATGCTGCTTGTGCCTGTGTGTGTTCAGATGTCTTGTCTGGGTGCAGATGTGTTTGCATGTACATGGAAAGGTGTGCACAGCTGTCCACACAAAAGAATACCCCCAGGGTATGTGGGCATCAGCTGTATCTCCCTAAGTCGAAAGCCCTCCATGGATCCTGTCCACATGTATCCACGAGTTCAGGCTGGCCTGGGGGTGGGATGGAGGGGGTAGCCAGGGGCACCTCTCCCCTTCCCTTCCACCCCCCCCCCCGTTCTGCCTCTCACTAAGCACACTGTGTGTACATCCCATGTGCCCGTGGGTCTCTACACACGCTCCCAGCGCGCTCCAAGCGTGTACACTATGTGTCTATGCATTACCCCATCCTTCCCCATCCAGCTCTCCCCTCTGCCTCCCCAACCCTCCTCCAGCCTGACCCGCATCGAAGGACACGATGGATGGACGGCCCCAGGCTCTCCCCAGCACTCCCCTCTCCGCTGTGCAGCCGTGTGTGTTGGCGTGTCGCGTGATGTAGCCGTGTTTGCTGACATGAGCCCTTGCCCTCCCCCCCCCGCCTCCGTTTCTCCCATTGGTTTCTAGAGTTCCTCGCATCCTCCGTCCATCCCCACCTCCCCACCCTCCCTTGCCCCCGCAGAGCGAGGACAGGGTGCCTGGGACGCCGGGGGTTGGGACCAGGACATCTGGATCCTAAGGAGAGGGATACGGCAAGGGAGAGGACCGAGGACGGGAAAGCCTGCCCGGATCCTGGGCCGATTCTGGTCTCGACTCTTCGTCTCTCTCCACTGGTCCCCAAGGCTCCTCCCTGTCTCCCCCTTCCCGCCCCAGGACGTCCTCACCATTGGTGCCCAAGAAGCAAACGGAAAAAAAAAAAAAAGGAAACTATGACCCGGACCCCACCCCACAGCCTTGCATGTCCCGTCCCGAGACCTTCCCACCCTGGGCCGGGCCGGGCCCCCACGGGAAAAATAGCAAACGTCCAGCCAGCGGGTCAGCCGTGTGCTGCCTCTCCTTCCCCTCCCCACTGCTGGGGATGGGGGTCGCGACAGGGCGGAGGGGAGGAGGGTGGCCACGCAAGTGGCCCAGGGGGTCTGTACAAGGATGAGCTGCCAGCTGGGCAGGCAGAGGGCACAGATGCCGAGGCAGGAATGTCAATATAGTGTGATCCTTGCCCTGGGTCTGAAGCCAGCCTCCCCAGGCCAGAGGGGCAAAGGGTGAACTCATTCATTTAGACATGAGGAAGAAAGGCAAATATGTTTAATATCAAAGTGACTGGGAAGGTCGATGTTGGGCTAATACTATAGTAAAGATGGCGAGCAAAGCCAGTCTCATGGGAGGGTTCCAACAGGAGAACAAGGCAGCAAACAGCATAACAGAGTTCTCAGGTGAGGCCAGGAGTTTGTGGCTAGGGTTAAGAGGCCAGATCTAGAACCCTGGGTGATCTTAGGAATCCAGGGAGCTGCTGTCACTGGGTGGTGGGGGTGGGGGTGAGAAGGGGAGTTGAAAGGCACTGAATTCAGTCTAGAATCTAGGTACAGCTCTCCCCAAGGCCCTGTCTTTTCACTTATAGTAGAGAGGGTTAGATATCTTCCAGATGGGTATCAGAGAACGGCATTTAGCACCCAGATCTATCTTTTCCCAACCCTGGTGACTAGGAACATGTGTGGAATTTCCCTCAGTAGAGTTAGAGAAAAGAATCTAAAAATATGAAATGCAGCACTTCTCAGAGTTTGGTCCTTAGGTGAAAAATCCCCTGGATTAGGGTCATTTATGGGAAACAAGGCTAAGTTTCACTCAGGGCTCAGTCACCAGGTGAGGAGAGCCCCTGGCTGGTATCAGAGGATGGAATTTAGAACCCAGGGCCTTCGACTTCCAGGGCTCAGTCACGAGGAAGGGGACCAGGATGCCCCTTTCTGGTCTTCACCCAGGAAACAGTTCGGTCTCTACTCTCCTCCCAGCCATAGAGGGGCTGATAGTCAAAATGCCTCTGGGCTTTGTCTGTGTGCACAGTAAAAGTGGTGTTTGCCAAGGAGAGAGTATAGGGGTTGATTAAAGCTGTATAGACCACCAAAGGCCGGAGTAGCCACTGCAAGAAAGCGTTGAGGATAGCCAGGAGGAATAGCAGGAAGTAGGGCAGAAGGGGCCGAGTTCCCAGGAGGCGAATGCCGCAGGGGCCCAGGATTTCCAAGTTGAAGTCCTCATAGCTCTTGTAAGGGGAGTCGTCATAGCAGAAGTAGATTTGCCCACCCATAGTGGTGGCTCTGGAGCCTAGCTCCCTAGCTGCCAGCACATGCATCCAAGCAACATTGCCTGAGGGGACAGAGGAGATGCTGCTCAAACACCCACTAGCCCACAGAGGACTGCAAACATCTAGTCTCCTTCCTTGACCACACAGACACTGAGTTCCCTTCCCAGCCTGTACCTCACCTGCACAGGTACCCAGCCACTTCCCCAGGTCTGACTCTTGATAATAAGAGACTCTCTCCCTCTAGCCCTTTCCCACATACATAAAGCAGCTTCCCCAGACCCAGTACTTGCTGTCCCATAACCTGGCCTTTGCCCAGAGGTTTGACACATCCCTGGCCCTTATTCCATCTATACACTGTTTGGCACCCACATCTCTCCTCCAACCAGAGGGCTTGGTCCTCACCTGCATAAACTCGGCCATGTTCCACAGAGGCAGGGATGGTCCTGAAAAGCCATCCACCAGTGCACTGGGCATTGCGGTAAAAATCGAGCATGAGCTGGTGGCCTTCACCATAGATTCCCGTGGGACGTAGGGCACATGTCACCAAGGGAAGTCCACCCCGGACCTGAGCAGGAGAGGTAGCTGTTGTGACCCAAGCTTCCTGTCCCTCCATTCCCCCCTCCCAGCTCACCTAACAGGTGAATCCCATATCCCCAAACTGTAAGATCTCAGGCATCTTCCAATGGCTTGTTTCATCAATGTATATACAAATACATACAAGAGGGCTCATATCTGTGTTCCTGAAAGAGCCATGTACTGGGGATTGGAAGACCTAAATTGCAGTCTTGGCTCTACATGGGCCTCAGTTTCCCCAGGGGGTGGACTCAATGCCCTCTAAGCTCCAGTGCTATAGGATTCCCAGACCCAAGCACCTGAGCCCCCTTACCTTTCTCCCATTGGCCTCAAGGACTAGCCTCTCTGCCTGGGCCTTGCTTCGAGGATAGGGCTGTGTATGTATCGCCTCATAGGGGGTGTCCTCATTGCCCCTGGATGTGGGAGAGAGGGCATACGTACAGTGAGCACCCTACATCCAGTGGGATACGTCTAATACTTCAGTACTTAAATATGAGTACTACATGTTTACAATTTTCAAAGTCCTTTACAAACATCATCTTGTTTTCCTCACAATTGTCTTGTGAAACAGATACAACTATTATGATGCTACTGATTTTTTAGATGAAGACCACATGGTATAGTGGATAAAAAGCTGATCTTGGGGTCAGGAAGATTTGGGTTCAAGTCCTGACTCTGACACATACTGTGTGAGCCTAGGCAAGTCATTTAACCTCTCAGTAGTACCTCAGACAACACTCGAAAGATTAAGACCAGTTTTGCCCATCTGCACATCCATGCCAGGAATATTCTACCCTCATGATCTGAGGAAATGGGCTTAGAGAGGCTGTCACTTCCATGGCAGAACCAGGCCTAGGACCTAGTTCTTCTGGATTCAAGGCTTTCCTGAACTGGTTTTTTCTGGACTAGGGTTTTCCCTTGGACGTCATAATTCTGCTTTAAAGTTTACAAAGGACTTCCTTCCAGTCACCCTCAACAATGCTGTGAGATGAGTTCATTATTATTTTATAGAACAGGGCCCCTGCAGGAGTCTGGAAGAGTTGGCCAGGGGGCGGGGAGGGGGGGGAGGGGGGAGGGGATGGGCAGTACCGGTAGAAGGGATGTCCCTTGGTGTTGGGCCCCAAGGCCTCCATGCTGCTAGTATACACCAGGAACCGAGTCCCAGTCTGCACACAGGCGTCAATCACATTCTGAGTCCCTGGGGGGAGGAGGTGGAATTTGTTCTCCTTTCTCCCCAGCTTCCCTCCTATTCTAAGCATACCCCCCCACCTTCCCACCCCCCCACTGGCCAAAGTTTTCTTGGCACAGAATTCCAGGGGAAAACCAATGGGTGGGAGGGAAAGGGAGAGAGAAAGGGACATGGTCAGGTTAGTTGCACAAATTGGGGAGGGAGCTACACAGAGGAACTAGGCTGGACTACCAGACTAGGTTTAAAGATCCCTCACCCTGAACATTAACCCTGTAGATGATCTCAGGGTCATTCAGTCCCCATACATCCACCAGCCCTGCCATGTGAATGACTACATCTGCTCCAGCTAGAGCTGCCACCACATCTTCTGCACGAGTCACATCCCCCTGGATTGGGGTCACCTGCACGGGCCCTGAGAGAGAACATATGTTGGCCCCACACGACATATTCCTCCCAGCCCTTCTCCTCCCCACCCCCCACTACAGTAATACCCTCAAACCATAACTTTCCATCTATGAGTCACTCCTCCCCACTCAGATGCGATCCACCCATAAACACATTTTCCCGTGAGGACTGGAGGGAAAAGCTGAGTTGCCTCCCTTTGTAATGGGGAGCAAAGAAAAGATTTGAACCTGGGAAGGAACAAGACCTAAAAGTCGAATAGATGGATCCCTGATAGGTCTAGAAGTACCTCCTCTTCCCTCACCTGGGTTTAGCGCCTCCAGCCAGGGCCCCAAGTGAAGGTCAAATACCCGAAGCTCTCTGAGCCGGGGCTCCATCTCCAGCAGGGTCCTAACCATATGTTCCCCCAAGAAGCCGCAGCCCCCTGTCACCAGGTACACCAGGTCCCGGCCTCCGTCTGTCATAATCTAACTGCAGTGAGAAAGACAGGCTGGGCTGGGCAGGCGGATCAGTGCCTATTCAGGCCCTCTACCTTCCAGGGCTATCTTCTCTGCTCTTCCCAAATGGCTTATTTTTGGTTTCTGGGAGCCCAGCCACACTCACCCATCTCCCACACAGGCTCATCTATGACTCTTGTATAGGCAGAACATGCATATCATGGCCAGAGAGCTGGACTCAGCCTGGCTTTACTGTTTAAAAATATCCGGGAGCCAAGGTTTAATCACGGGATGGGAGCTGGCTGGGGTGGGAGGAGAAAGGGAAGGGAGGATCGTGGTAAACTCTAAGCCCCAACACTTTGTTCCCGACTTAAGCTGAGGAAATCAGGAGGGGAAAAGGGTACGGTGGGTTGGCAGAATTGTGTAAGTGTGTGGAGGGGGTTGTATGAAAGTGAAGAGGGGAGCTAGGGTTGAGGACATTGGGTGGAACTAAGGATAAGAACCTCCTACCTGGAAAAGGTCAGCTCTGCAGAGGTCTGTCAGCTCCTACAGCTTGTAAGACACCTTCTAAAACCCTTTAGGACAAAACCTTGGCCACCCCCTCTTACAAGACTCAGCTCCCCTACCTTTCCTTTTCCGTCCCCCCTCCCCCATCCCAGCTATTATCCTAAGTACAGCCCCTTCTAGGAACCAACCAACCTACAGTCCCGAGCAATTCCCCTTCGGCCCCGCCTCCTCCTCTAGTGGAGAAAGCACCTCCTGCTGCCCCAGACTGGCTACTGCAAATTTACAGTGGTGACCATTCACTATCCCTCAATTCCCTGACCCTCTAGACTGAGGCTGGCTGGACTCAACGGAAAAAAGGAAGGGATGTTAAGACTGGGAAAATGACTTGCAGGCTTCAGCCCATTATTTACCTCATCACATTTCCCTTCACTGTTTCCTCCACCCCCACCCCCTCCGGGTTGGGCAGGGCAGAACAAGGGGCTCTAGTCAGGAAAGTATGGACAGGGGAAGAGGTCTAAACACATCTCATTGGAACCCATTCATATAATTTCTAGTCACAACAGTTATACGCCATCAGCTAGTCCCTGGGCAAGTTTCTCTGCATTTAAACAGTTGATAATAGGCAGAATGGAAACATTTCAGCATCAAGATGAGAATGAAAAGATGGACAGGTGCCTGGGCACACCACTTCCCATTCACCTTACCCCAACAGATCTTTAAGGTCCATTCCAGCTCTAAATTAATAATCCTAAATTACCCATGCTCATGTACCTCAAAAGCCCAGTCCTCCCTATCCATTTTCCCATAAACATCAGGTACTGACAAATTCCTACCACCACAAAGCCATGAAGATGGACCACTTTTGTACAATAAAGTTTAATCACAATTATAAAAATGTGGCGTTGGGTCCGAGGCATCATCGCTATTAACATATGTACAAAACCAGGCCAACAGGAGTGGGGAGGACAGAGCTGGGATCAAACTCTGGCGGCCTGTACCATCTGTCTTCTCCCAGCCCCTGGCCAGCTGTGCAGCCACTTATGGGGTGGGAATTTGAACATGGCCTTTTGAAGAACAGGGCAGAGGCAGCTTAAGGGGGAACAGGAGACACTCTCCCGTGTCCCAAACCCCCTTTCCCCAGGCCTGGCCTCAATGCCTCTAAAGCCAAAAGTGAAGGCCCAGGTTTCAGATAACCCCTTGTGGCCTCTTAGGCCTAGCATGGCCAGACGGCAAGGCCAGGGAAATCATAGACCCCTGTCTTCCCTGGTTTGGGGGAGGAGGGAGTATCAATACCAGGGAAGGGAGAGATTCCCAGCTGGGGTCCAGGAAAGAGCTCTCCTGAGGGGAGAAAAATATGGCCAGCTGCTCCAGAGACCCCAAAGTGGAGAAGAAAAGAGGTGTAGGGGGAATAGCCCCCAATAAAACAAAGTGGGGGGATGGGAAAGTCCTCCCCCCTCAAAGAACAGCATCTGTACAGGCCGGCACCCCAGGTTTCCACAGGAAACAGCCGCTAGCAGCTACAAAACATTTACAGTTTCTTCTCCGAAAAGAAAAAAAAAGCGGGGGCAGAATCTGCCTCATTTTGGGCATTCCCTACAACCCAGAATCTGGGAGACCCATACTCCCCACAAGGGGAAGGGGGAGGGGGGAACACTCCAATTTTTTTTTCCTGTATCTAGGTTCCTAAAAGGTAGGGTGGATTTTTTTCTGCTCATCCTGCAGAGACCTCATGCCCCCTACCACTCTCCCACCTTATCTTGGGAACCACAGGAAATGGAGGCTCAGGGTCTAAGTCTGAACCTCAGAACATAAGTCAAAGGGCAATTCAAGCCCTAGCTGGTTCTCTAGCCTGTGGTGGGAATAAATTAGGGATATGTATGTGTGTTGGTGGAGGTGATGGTAGGGTAAAGCCAGCCCCTCCCTAAGGCCCTCAGTTGAGGGAACCCCGGCAACTTTCAGTGCCACACAAACATGGGATTTTGTTGTCTTCCAAGGGGAATTTGTAGTCATAGGTGATCTCTTCATCCACCCCAATTGGCTGCTTGGAGTAGATTACAATCTTCTTCTGGGCCTCAATGGTGATCACCTTGGCATAGCAGTTGGGCTATGGTTGGAGAAGGGAGTTATTAGCTTTGACTTTGGCCCCTTAGTTACCGCACCCTTTTCTCCCCAAAACCAAGTATTCTGAGCCAGGTGTCCCCTTCCTCTTGCTGTCTAGCTCCTTTAAAAGTGTCCTCCCAAACCCAATTAAGTAGTCCAGAACCAGTCCCTGCCCCCGGGCCCAGCTCTCACCGTGCAGCAGTGATTGATAAATCGTGCCAGATTTCCACACTTTGTGGCATCAATGATGGTGTCATGGTCCACTCGAAACAGATAGCTGCTGCCAATACCCTCCTGCACATACCGTTTCTCTCTCATGTCAGCCACCACCTGACAAGCCAAGAAAGGTCAGAAAAAGTTTTCCAGAGAAAACCAAGATCTTCCTTCTTCGCCATCTAAGTCTTTGAAACTTTCAGTATAAATGATATTAGATGTCATGTTTGTTATCCAAACACCCCTCACTCACACTTGCTTTGGCATACTAGGCTTTCCACTCTTTAGGCCTGTGACTTGTCTACCTTGCCTCTATGCTCACTCCATAAAACAATTCTCTCCATCTCACACCTCCTTCATGCTCATTAAATTGTCTTTTTTCATCATGAAATAGCTCTAAAGTTTCCACGTCTTCCATGAAGCCTTCCTGAGTTGATTTGGTTCCCTCCATTCACCCACATGGACATGGTTCTTCCAGTGTTACCACTATTCTCCAGTTGTATATTTAACCTTAGTCCCTATAAAGGGGATTTTATAGAGGACATGCCCTAGGCATGGATGTGTCCACGTCACTGCATATCTCTTAGATTCTAATTTTGGCTCAGAGTAGCAACCATATCTCCCCTAAGAATACCACATGCAATTTGATGCCTAGTCATTTTTATGCTGGTAGTAAGGACAAGGTAACTTGTTCACCTGACGGATGTTCTGTCCCACATACTCTATAACCATCTCATCAGCTGCAATGGGTTCCATAGCAAAAAGACCCCACTCATGGATCCGGCTCCTGCCAAATCGGAGTTTTTTCTTCCGGAACTACAGGGGTGGAGAAGACAGAAGAAAGAAATCCAGGCATAAGGGATACCATCAAGCCCTGCCTCTCTCCCCACTGCCCAAGTCATGCTCTTTACTTTCTCACTGTGGCTGTGATGCATGAACACAATGGGTGTATGGTGCTAGGGAACTGCCCCCCCCAAGATAAAAGGCCACATTCTCTCCCTTCTTTTCTGTTCTAAGACATCCCTAATTCCTTGCTCCCCAACAATGGTACATGCATCACACATACATATATATACACACACACACATACACATACCCCCAAAGCCTCCCCCATCCTTGAAACTCCACCCACTCGATTAAGGCTTCTCTCCTGCTATGGCTATGCTCCATGTACAACAGCAGTGGCTGTTGTATCTCAAGGTCTCAGAGCTCTGTATCCCCCATCCCCCCACCCTGCCCCACTCCCCACCTCAGCCAGTTGTTCTCACCTTGAGCTGATTCAATTTTAGCAGGTCACTGTCCACAATGGCCGATGTACCAATAGCACTCAGCAGCCTACGCTGCTCTGACCTTCTTTCTGATAGCACCCGGTTTGTCCCCTGGGAAGGAAAAGGACCTCATCAGTAGGGAAGTACAGGGAAAAAAACAAAAACTGCTCAACTGCCAAGAATGGCCTCGACATCATTACCTGGGTGTCTGAGCCCTCTAGCTGACGTGCTGAGACAGGACAGACATCCAAGTACTTATCCTTTTCTTTCTTACTGATAGGGTAGTAACCCTCGCTCCGAGCTGAACCTGTCTGATGCTCCCGGGGCCCATCCAGGGGCTTTCGCTTACGTTTGGGAGTGGTCAAGTTGGTGAGTAAGATATCGTTAAGGAAGAAAACAGGTTTTTCAGTGGCCCACTCCCAGGCCTGTCACAGGCTTGAGAATTGTTCGCAGCTCTCCCTGACCACCTCCCCAGTCTGGAAGTAGAGCAACCTAAACTGGACGTGAGAGTGAATGTTGAGGTAAGGGAAGCTAGGATGTGGGGAGAGAAGGCAAGAGACAGACATATAGCCAATTCTAATAACCTGCCAACCTTTGCCACAACACAAATCTCCCAAAGCCCATGAAAATGTATTAGGCAAAGAAAAAAGAAATGAAGTGGATAAGAATGAAGGTGAAAAGTAGCAGAGAAAAAAAGAGTACTCAACAACGGAGTCACAGAAATATTATTAGTAAAATGACTGCTAGAAAGAGAAAGGGAGAGAGAGAGAGAGAGAGAGAAGTGAGACTTGAGGCTTCTGGTACAGCAGCTCCCACATCTGGTAGCCCAACCCACAGAGGTCTAGGATATTGGTGTGATGTACCCAGTGGGTATCATTAAGCCAGTCGGCTCCACTGTCCTGCTGCAGCAGCCTCTCGTAGGTGAGTCGTAAGTAGCCCATGTCCTCAGCATCAAGCCCAGAATTCCAGATGTCATACAGGATGGTCATCTGCTCAAACTCACTTCGGGGCTCATAGCTGGGTGGAGGTGGAGGGGCAGGTGGCAAGGGCTGTCGACGGCGCCTGGCATGGGATCGGAGGCTCCTACGCCTCAAGGTACCTTCCCCATCACTGCTGCTGCTACTACTCTCTGATGACTCCGACTCTTCCTCCTCTTCCTCCTCCTCCCCTTCCTCCTCCTCCACCTCAGCAACCACCACCTCAGGAGCTTCTAGGACCTCATCGACAGGTGAGCTGAAGACAGTGGCAGGAGAAAGAAGTGGTTCCAGGGGTCTGGAAACTGGGGCAGGGGGAGCAGGCCGGACAGCCAGAGCATAGTTGTGCTCCAAAAGAACATGAATGATTGAGGGACCTGCTAGACCCAAACGCTCAGCCTCATCCGAGGTCTCAGTGGCTTCAGAATCATCCCCTACA